GAACTTCAAGCTACACATCATCTTCAGGTAATGCTTTACTAGTGATAAAGTAGAATGTTTTTTCACATTTTCCATACAAGCCTCTATCCCAACAGGGTAGCCTTTTTCATCACATTATTGTCCTGCGGCCTCATCTTCAGCTTCTGATCTGTAACCCCAGATCCTCTTCTGTGAATCTGTTACCTAGCTATTATTTCCTATAACAGATCCTAGCTTTGTTACAGCATTATTTGTCAAGATTATTTTTAATTCTAATCCTTTTTTTCATCAACATTTGCAGCTCTACCCAGTTTACCATCATATGCAAGCTTTACAAAGCTCATTCTCTCTTCTGACCCCTAATTCACTAAAAAATATACTGAACAGTGCTGGACCCAGACAGTTTCTTGCAGAACTCCTTACAGCACGTTTCTTTGGCCTAACATGGGTAGTTCATCTGTAAGGACCGTTTTGGAGCAGTTGTCCACTGAAATACTTCCACTTACATCAGGTTTCTTAGTAGACATGAGAATGTCATGTGAGATGGTGTGAAAATCTTACTTAAAAGCTTGATAGCTACTGCTAATATCCCCCTGTTTCCAAGGTCTGTTATCCTATTATAGCAATAAATGTGAGTGCATTGACATGATTTGTTCTTGATAAATCCATAGAGGCTATTACCACCTTATAGTACTCCAGCTGCTTACAAATAGGATTATAGCTTTATTTTGTATTTTATTATGCACAAAATCTGAATGAAGGCTTTAATAAACTGAAGCATCATTAAGTTTGAAAATTCAGTATTAATACAACTGTTCACCGAAGGGACTGCTTGTGTTACGTGTCATAGCTGCTGTCCTCTTACAATTCCTACTCACGTTTTCTAAATACAGTGAGCCTTGTTGAAGTCCTTTTCCTCCTCCCACTGCAAACACTATCAATAAATGATTGCAATACATCCAGTAGGTACAAGAACGAGCAAATTGCACCTGGCTGTGCCACTTTTACCAACCCAGGATTTGATAACACGCACCGCAAGGCAAGTGTATTAGCAGTGGCTGGGGCTATGAGATGGAAGTGTGACCAAACTGTTTTCTGAAACCACATTCCTCTTGATGACATTTCCTTGTTCATTAGGAAGTGTTTATCAGATATGTCTGATTTCTCAGTTAAAGCTGATTGTTTTGCTAAATTGCTAGAGATGTGGAAAATAAAAATTCTCCCTTTAAAACACAAATATCTAAGGCTAAGTACTGTTAAATATAGCTCCTTGTTAACATTTCTGTTATTGCCCTAGTTTCTTGCATCATGGTCTGTCCTAGAACCCACCACACAGACTCTGGTCATCTACTGGGGATGCTCAGTCAGAGCAAGAGCACGAAGTTAACTGAATGGTTGCACTACCAGCTCCAAGTGTCCACCCTAACCACCTACCCAAACCTGGCTTCTTCAGTAGTCAATGAAAGACTCCTCTTATGGGGGGCTTTATGGTATCCAAGTCAGGCTTAGAATCTCAGTGTCTTTCTGTAGGGTTGGCCTTTAACTTCATCTGGTAGAATCAGGTGCCTCAGCTGAACGATACACACATTTCAACATGCTGAGCCTGTTGTAATATGGGCAACACACCATTTCTTGTACTTGTCCACTTGCTTCAACTAGAGGAACTTTGTGTTGTCTGAATCTATTTGAAAAGGAGAGGGAGAAAGCAATCTAATAGTTTTCTTCTTTCATGAGGCACAAAGAAAATTATACATTAAAATTAACATTTGCATGCACATAGAATGTGGGTTGTTCACCAAATAGGCTGGACACAATGGCTTTAAATTTTCACTGACTGCTACTTGTGTAAATTGAGATGGAGTCCCTGAGATGAATGACACTTTTATTGTAAAGCTGGTGTCAGACAGAATTCTGGTTCAATATTTCCAGATACCAGCATTATGTCAGACCACATTGTAGTTTCTGGTTAATACTCCTTAATTCTAAAAATCTGTTTGAGTTCTTTATTTTACTATTTTATTAGTAAATAAGCTTATACTACTTGCATCTTGAAAATTTTCTGTTGGACTTTTCTGTAGTTACAGAAACTAAAGCTGGGAAAGTTTGTAGGCTGTAGTTAACACTGATGATCTTGGGTTTTGATGGTAGCTTGGACTAGGATAACTGGATGATAAGGCATTCTGCAGCTTAAGGATTTCAGAAATATCAGATTCAGGATGTGGCCAGTGTCCTTATGGCTCTGGCTCAGCTTGCCCGCTGGCAGATTCATCTTAAGAGGCAGGAA